GGTGGGGAAAGAGGAACCCTGCTCCACTGCTGGTGGGAGTGTAGACTGGTGCAACCACTGTGGAAATCAGTGTGGAGATACCTCAAAGAACTAGGATCAGAGGTCCCATTTGACCCAGTTATTTCCCTGCTGAGTATCTTCCCAAAAGATTTAAAAGTGTTATATCACAGTGACTGAGGCACACCCATGTTTATAATGGCACATTTTGTATTAGCTAAAGCTTGGAAACAGCCTAAATCCCCATCAACTGGTGAATGGATAAAGAAGATGTGGCTTTTTTTTTTTAATCAAATGTAGTACTACTCAGTCATAAAGAATGAGAAACTAGAGGCATTTGGAGCTAAATGGATGCACATTGAGACCATACTCCTAAGTGAAATAAATAAAACACACGTGTAAATACCAAATAGTTTCTCTGGTGTGAGAAACTGCGAGAGTAAATGAGGACCAAAATATATAATAGATAATGTAAAATAGAAAGAAAACATCCAAGAGGGAAGGGGAAGTAGGGAGGGGTGTAGGGGAAAGCAAAGAGGTGAAGGAAAAATATGAGAAAAGAAGGAAAACGTGGAAACAAAGTTTTTGTGAATAAGGAGGAGTGTAGTGGTGGAAGGGAGGGAGGGGGAATGGGGAAAAAAGAAGAGCCAAGATATATCATGTAGAGGTACAAATTCCCAGTGATGAATGTGATCATAATGTATATCTAAAACTTACCAATAAACTTAATGGAATAAAAACAAAGAGAGAGGGAAGAGTTTCTGGATTGCAAAGATGTTTTATTCAATGAATAACTTTGGTATGAGTAACTAGATGCCCAACTTTATTTCTTCTTTCTCTGGTGTGGCCTTCATCATGAAGGTCTTGGTTTGACTTCTGAAAGGACGTCTTTGTGCAATTTGACCTTTGTGAGTGTATTTGGTTTCTGAGATCTGGTTCAAGCTCCAGCATAACTAACACAAGCCTATGCTTCTGATGGGTCGTGTCTCAATTCTGAAGCCATGAAAAATGTTAATTCTGTCCCCACATGCAGCCCTTGGATTGTATTCTCCAAAATTGGGTGACATTCAGCTACTACCTGGCACCAATGTTCTTTGTAATAAGGAAAGAAATAGCCTGCAAATGGGTCCTGGAAACAGCTTTAGAAAGAATTTAATTCAAACACATCAAGGTAAACTGCCATTGGCATTCCTAGAACGATTTTGGCAGGAGTTCCCACTGGTCACACTGCTCCTAGCTGGCATGATTTTTCCTGCATGCCATAACATCTCATGACTTTTTTCCCTGAATTCACTTTTGGTTCTCCATGCTTAGTATAATATTTTGTTTGATTATGCTATCTAATTTAAAAGTTTGTTGTGAAAACCTTTAAGATAATTAATAAATTGTAATTATCGGGTTAACATATCAAGAGCTTTTAACTTTTTTCCTATTTTGCATATGTTGACTCTTTCTGCTTGATGATTTACTTCAGCCAGTCCTAGCTAAAATGGAAGCAGCCAATATCTAATTCCTAAACTCATATGAGACTGAGAAAATGAGAAAAAAAAAACTAGCCTCTTTTAGACTAAAAAAACCCCAGCAACAACAACGACAAAACACTTGTTAAAGTACATACTGCCCCTGAAAATTTCGGTCCACCATCTACATAAGATTTGTAAATGCAAATCTCAAAGGTTCAGCCATATGAACAGGTGACCATAATTCCTACAAATTAACCAACAAAATAAAGATTTCCTCAACGCTGTTAGCACTGTCCTCCTGTCACTGCCACTGCCAGGGCTCCCTGGTGGTCGGCTGGTTAAGATCAGTGATCTGACTGCCATGGGCTTGGTTTAATTTCCACTCAGGGATCTGGGATGGTTTCTGGTCACTCAGAAGAAATTGCAACTCCCTCCTTACATTTCCCTCTTTCAGTGCTCTACAGACAACCCTGCATCTTCCCATGAGGTGCTCCAAGAGTGCCAAGGGCATCTTGTCTATCAGCCTTACTAATATCATAGGAGAAATTCTGTTGTCTGTAACTGGAAAACAGACACAGGCTCTAATAAATACACACTGGCTGAAGCAGCATTTTGGGGTTAAATCGTGTCAAGGGCAAAGGATAAGGTGGTCTGAATGTGGACAGTTTAAGAAAGGAGTAAAACTTTCTGAAAGCTACCACAGGAAGAATCCAAGTGAAAGCTATAAGAGCTTCATTTTCTCTATATTTTTTAGTGTATGTTTGTGTATGTCTGTATATTGTATATCACAGGTGTGCTTATGTCTATACATGTGTGTTTATACTATCCAGGTAGTTCTAAATTGACTTAGAAATAAAGAAACATGCATAAATTCAATAACATGACTTGGGAAAACCTTAATAAGGCTTGTTTAATATTGTTGGCTTAATTTAAAAAAAAAGCAGTTGTCTTCTAATTGACAAAATAACGGGGAAATAAGGGAAAATAATTATTCTACATAATGCTAAGGATTGGTAAATAAAATTAATAATAGAAGGGGAACACCTATAACTTCAGACTGTTGATCTGTGTTCTAGAAGACTTCAAGTGAGTCAGAATAAATGAGAGCTGATTCATATCTGGAGACATTTAAGATTTATTTACAGCAGAATAAGAAGTATCCTCATTTCTGTAGATCATTTTAATGATAAAAATGACTCTATGATCTGGGCATGGTGACTCATGTCTGGAATCTGAGCGCTCTAGGAAGCTGTGGCAGAAAAGTAGCAAGTTCAAGATCTGCCCAGGCAATTTAGCAAAACTCTGTCTCAAAATATAAAGAATGAAAGAACAAAAGAAGGAAGGAAGGAAGGAAGGAAGGAAGGAAGGAAGGAAGGAA